AACAATCCCGAGCACTTTCTTACTACCAACCCGTACTATGATTCTCGTGTTGTTGGGAAGTACTGTGAGAAACGTGATCCCACGCTTGCTGTTGTTGCGTACCGCAGAGGACAATGTGATGAGGAACTTATCAATGTAACAAGCAGGAATTCTCTGTTTAAGTTGCAAGCCAGGTACTTAATTTAACTAGTGTTTGGTATGGCGATAATCGAAAAGGGAATGGAATGGAGTATTACTGTGGAATCAATAAATAATGGTTGACTGCCAGATAGGATTGGAATGGAGCATTCATTCCTCACGTCATGTGATTTCTTCTCGTCTGCGGATTGTCATTCCATGGGGAAAGAATGACGTATTATAATTTTTAAATACTTTTATCCATATAATCTTCGATAACAATGATTTTCAAAACTTCATGTAAATTGTTTTTTGCTATTTTCTAAAAACACCAAAGATAGTTTTTGTTTGTAAATCCTATTTAAGATTTCATGATATGTTTTTTTATTTAAAGTGTTTTTTTTACTATTTAAAATACATATAGTATATATTTCAAACTACATGAAATATGTTTATTGCAATATATCTTATTTGATTAAAGTTAATTTTAATAAAATTACATTTTTTTTAATTTACCAGTTTGTTTTTTTAATTATACATAACAAACAAATGATCGAATGACTTATTCCATTCCCTCAAGCCAGATATAATGATACATTTCACTACACTGTTCATTCCATTACTTTTTGATCTTATTCCGTCACACTATTCTTGTTCATCATATATGAATCTGATCATATTAGTTGAAAGTTTATCAATTAATAATTTATTTTTGTTTTAGATATGTGGTTGAGAGGATGGATGGTGATCTTTGGGAGAAGGTTCTTAACCCTGAAAACGAGTACAGAAGACAACTCATTGATCAAGTTGTCTCTACTGCTTTACCCGAAAGCAAGAGCCCTGAACAGGTTTCTGCTGCTGTGAAAGCTTTCATGACTGCCGATCTCCCCCATGAACTGATCGAACTTCTTGAAAAAATCGTCCTCCAAAATTCCGCTTTTAGTGGGAATTTCAATCTGCAAAACCTTCTTATCTTAACAGCCATCAAAGCCGATCAATCACGAGTCATGGACTACATCAATAGATTAGATAACTTTGATGGGCCTGCTGTTGGAGAGGTTGCTGTTGAAGCCGAATTATATGAAGAAGCATATGCTATATTCAAGAAATTCAACTTAAATGTTCAAGCAGTCAATGTATTGCTGGATAACATCCAAAGCATTCCACGTGCCGTGGAGTTTGCATATCGTGTTGAAGAAGATGCTGTATGGAGTCAAGTGGCTAAAGCTCAGTTAAGAGAAGGACTAGTGAGTGATGCGATTGAATCATTCATTCGTGCTGATGATGCCACTCAGTTTTTAGAAGTTATCCGTGCTGCTGAAGATATAGAGTGTTATGTTGATTTAGTGAAGTATTTAGTGATGGTTAGGCAGAAGACTAAGGAGCCGAAGGTGGATAGTGAGCTTATCTATGCGTATGCAAAGATTGACAGATTGAGTGATATTGAAGAGTTCATTTTGATGCCGAATGTGGCTAACCTTCTTAATGTTGGTGATCGGTTGTTTGATGAAGCACTGTATGAAGCTGCGAAGATAATATATGCTTTCATATCAAATTGGGCCAAGTTGGCAGTTACACTTGTTAGGCTGCAACAGTTTCAAGGTGCGGTTGATGCTGCTCGTAAGGCAAATAGCTCAAAGACATGGAAGGAAGTTTGTTTTGCTTGTGTTGATGCTGAGGAGTTCCGCTTGGCTCAGATATGTGGGCTCAATATTATTGTACAGGTAATGTTCTGTAATCTTTTGGGTAATGTTTGGTATAATCAGGGGAGGAATGGAATAAAAAACAACTTTTTGTTTTGTCTGATGGAATGAATTGTGGACCTTTCTTTACAAATGTGATTTCTGTGGCTGTTTAGTTGTATACACTGACGGGTTGATTTGTTTCGAAATGAATTTATATTTATATATAAATAGGTGGATGATCTGGAAGAGGTGAGCGAGTACTACCAAAACAGAGGATGCTTCAATGAACTGATATCTCTGATGGAGAGTGGTCTAGGGTTGGAACGTGCCCACATGGGCATCTTCACTGAGTTGGGTGTCCTTTACGCCAGATACCGTTACGAGAAGCTTATGGAGCATATCAAACTCTTCTCAACCCGTCTCAACATTCCAAAGCTTATCCGAGCTTGTGATGAACAACAACACTGGAAGGAACTTACGTATCTATACATCCAGTATGATGAGTTTGATAATGCTGCCTCCACTGTCATGAATCATTCTCCAGAGGCATGGGATCATATGCAGTTTAAAGATATCGCGGTTAAAGTCGCAAATGTTGAGCTTTATTACAAGGCTGTTCACTTTTACCTGCAAGAGCATCCTGATCTTATCAATGATGTTCTCAATGTCCTTGCTCTACGTGTTGACCATACCCGTGTCGTTGACATTATGCGAAAGGTTTGTCCATACAGCAATACCCCATTCTATTTATAAAAAAAAAAATAGCAACACTCTTCTGAATACAAAGAATTTTGAATTTTATAATTGGGTAGATTTTGCAAAGTATGCCGTCTTAACAAGAATTTTTTGGAAGTATATTCTATAATTGGGTCAAAGTACAATGCCTTGATTGTAGAATTCTGTAATAGAATTATGTATAATGGAGATTTTGTTTTCGGTAATTGCATTTGCAGGCAGGGCAGCTTCCTCTTGTGAAGCCGTATATGGTTGCAGTTCAGAGCAACAATGTATCAGCTGTAAATGAGGCATTGAATGAAATATATGTGGAGGAGGAAGACTATGATAGGTTGCGTGAGTCTATTGATTTGCATGACAACTTTGACCAGATTGGCCTTGCACAGAAGGTACTTTGTTTGCTGTACTATTATTTATATTATTAAATGAAGTGAATTGTGATGTCATGATATTTATTGATGCGTATGGATTGTTGCAGATTGAGAAACACGAGCTTCTTGAGATGAGGCGTGTGGCTGCATATATTTACAAGAAGGCTGGTAGATGGAAGCAGTCAATTGCATTGTCTAAGAAAGACAAGGTCTACAAGGATGCCATGGAGACAGCCTCACAATCTGGTGACCGTGAGCTAGCAGAAGAATTGCTCCTCTATTTCATCGACCAGGTACGTACAAGCAAAACTTATTCTCTAAATATCTATTTTGTGAGGAGGGAGGGTGCAATTGGTAAATTCAGTGTTTTATAATAATATAATATAATTGGGGTTATGCATCATTGCAGGGAAAGAAGGAATGCTTTGCTTCGTGTCTGTTTGTTTGTTATGATCTAATCCGTGCAGATGTTGCTCTTGAGCTAGCCTGGTTGAACAATATGATCGATTTTGCCCTCCCGTATCTGCTTCAGGTATATTTTTATCATTCTCAGGTTTTAAGTCCTTTATTTCATAAATTTTATTAATACTTTTAATTTAATATGGTTGCAGTTTATCCGTGAATATACGGGGAAAGTTGATGAACTAATAAAGGACAAGATAGAAGCAGCCAAGGAAAGCAAGGCCAAGGAGAACGAAGAGCAGGATGTCATTAAGCAGCATGTATGTCTTTGTCTTTGTTTCACTACTCTTATTATTTGATTTTATTTTTAAGATGATGATGATGATGATAGTTTGGTTTGGTTTGGTTTGGTTGAATGCTGATTTCTAGAACATGTATGCTCAACTACTGCCTCTAGCGCTGCCTGCACCACCAGGTATGGGTGGAGGAGGATTTGCTCCACCACCACCACCACCAATGGGTGGAATGGGGATGCCGCCTATGCCACCATTTGGAATGCCGCCGATGGGCTCTTACTGATTCATTCATTATTGGTGGTTGAAAGAACAAACTTGAACAGTTTCCAGTCGTGTGTTTTGGGGGTTAAAAGGTAGATTTGTTTTAGATATGAGAATAAATATGGCGTGGTTTTACTTATTATTATTATTATTATTATTTTTATAGGTGTCGATAAGTTTTTCTTGTAATTTTTTTTTGGGTAGTTAAGGAATTTTTTGCAGGTGGATAGGCAAGATGAGGGAGTATAATCATGTATTATGAATTTATGATGTATCAGAACAATTCGGATCAATATTCAATAGGATGGAGGATGTATTATGCTACTTTTGATATGGACTTTTTAGCTTGTATTCTCGTATCCTATTTTAAAATCAAAAGAAACACAAATCCACCAATTTTTACACACTTGTACTAATGTACTATCAATATATCAATCCCAATCAATTTAAGCAAATCTAGGATAATTGCATCACCTTCAGATTTTACCTTATATCATTGCACTTTTTGTTTTCAATTTACATGTAATGTAACTTAACCACTGGATTTCTCTTTTTGAGTGATTATAATTTGTTGCTAATCTCTCCAATTTTTCTTTTAATTGGTAACGGACGATCTTTTTATAATACAACCAAATCAAAATCAAAATCAAAAAGATATACTGTATTATCATCGTTACAACATCATCAGATTTTAAAAAACATATTAACCACATGTTTAGCTACAAGTTTTCTTTATAAAAGCAATTTTAATTTAATACTTAATATAGTTTGCAAAAAAATATGGATGAGATCCAAAAACTTTTTAACTTACACAGCATGTCCTGAGTTTGAGATTTTCCGGTGACAATAGGATTCATCTGAGACTTTTCCGACATGGGTTCGTCCGTGATTGATAGGTTGAAAACTTTTTAGATTTTTCCGACATGGGTTCGTCCGTGATTGATAGGTTGAAAACTTTTTAGATTTTAATGTAATTTGAAAACTTTTTGGATTTCAAGCTCCATATATATTATTTACAAAAAATAAAATAAAAATAATAACAGAGTTAACAAATTTTTAAGCGGCTAGAATAATAACTTTACCTTTAAAAAAAAAAAAAAAAGTTAGGATTTTCGTCAATTACTCGTATAAAACCTTTGGACTTATGCAGTCTATATATTTTCACTCTCTCGAGTTCTTTCCTTTCAATGGCGTAACCACAGAAGTCTTCCGTTTTCTTTCTTGCTTTATTTCTATCCAGTACCCAAACTCAACTCAAGCACAGTTGTTTAAATTTTCGATATCACCCGCCCCTACTGAAAACATCTGAAGATGGTGATTCTGATACTGATAAGGATATTTGTAGTTTCAACAATTTTGACTAAAATAATAAGATTCATTTGGGCTTTAATTGTCGCCCGGTTTGACAGAAAGAAGGCCGTAGGGTTCTTTCACCCTTACACCAACGACGGCGGAGGTGGAGAAAGAGTTCTGTGGTGTGCAGTTAAAGCTATTCAAGAAGAACGCCCTGATCTTGATTGTGTTATCTACACCGGCGATCATGATGCTTCTCCTGACAGCCTCATCCTCCGCGCCGTCGATCGGTTTGGTGTTAAGTTGCTTTCTCCTCCCAAGGTAATTTCCAATGTTTCTGTGATGAAATGCCTAAAATTCATGTTTAATGATTCTGAAAATTAACTTTAGTTAGTAAACCCTAACTGTTGAATCACAAAGTCTAGATATGCATAATTTCAAGTGATTTATGCATAATTCAGTCCATTTCAAGTGAGGATGTGTTTAGGAACTTCAAGTCTGATCCATGGAGTTGAAATCTAAGCACAATCTGATTAAGTTCGATGCATCATGTGATGATGAACACTGTGATCAAACTTGTTAGTTGATTCAGATTGATCTCCATGCTGTTTTGCCAAATCTGCTTAGTTTCTTATGATAATTGTATTTGATTTCTATCAGGTCGTGCACTTACAAGAAAGGAAATGGATCGAAGAAACAACATATCCTCGCTTCACCATGATTGGTCAAAGTTTTGGTTCAATCTACCTTTCATACGAAGCCTTGACCAAATTTGTTCCATTATACTATTTGGATACAAGTGGATATGCCTTTACCTATCCACTCGCCCGACTTTTTGGTTGCAAAGTCATCTGCTACACACATTACCCAACAATCAGCTTAGATATGCTTTCTCGTGTTCATTCAAGGAGTTCCATGTATAATAATGACACCGTTGTTGCTAAAAGGTTAGTTGCGTAATTGTTCCACTCCATTAGTTGTTTTTACAGAAAACCTTGAAGTTATGTAGATTAGTGATGCTAATCATTCCTTACATAATTGTCATGACAGTGTACTGCTATCACAGTTGAAAGTTGTATATTACAAAGTTTTTAGCTGGATGTATGGCTTTGTTGGTTCTTGTGCAAATCTTGCAATGGTAAACTCTTCATGGACACAATCGCATATTGAAAAGCTTTGGAGAATTCCAAATCGTACTAAACGAGTTTATCCTCCTTGTGATACAACTGGATTGCAGGTTTATTTTTTTATGCCTTATACTTAATTATATACAACCGGATCATAATCATATCAATTACTGTTTTTAAACAATTACCTATCAGGAACTTCCACTGGAAAGAGAAACAACACCACCTAAAATCATTTCAGTGGCTCAATTTCGACCAGAGAAGGTGTGGTTTTTTTATTAAAGGTGTTAAAATCATTAAAAATTTACATGATCTTTGATAGCTGATATTTTATTTTTGGTTAAAATAAAAACATTATGTCAGGCACATGCTGTTCAGCTTCAGGCTTTTGCACTTTGCATCAAGAAACTGAATGTGGAGACTCCTAGACCTAAACTCCAGGTTGTTGGTAGCTGTAGAAACGATGCTGATGAAACAAGATTGCAGAATTTGAAAGATTTAGCTATTGAACTCATGATAGAAGAGGATGTAGAATTCCATAAGAACGTGTCCTACAGGTTTGTCATTATATTTTTTCAGTTACCCGGTTATCAAAAAAACACACATACACACACACAGCGTACTTTCACTATTTTATTAATTTAGCCATTGAAGTATTAATTTTTAGGATTATTGTAATAATATGTATAAGTAAATGGGTTTTGCATGCAGGGAGTTAGTAAGGCTATTGGGTGGTGCAACTGCAGGGATTCATTCAATGATTGATGAACATTTTGGCATTAGTGTTGTAGAGTACATGGCTGCAGGAGCCATTCCCATTGGTAAAACAAATAAAAACCCATGCTTCATTATTGACATCTAAAAACATATGCTTTTTTTTTCAGCTCATAATTCAGCTGGCCCAAAGATGGACATTGTGTTACCTGAAGAAGAGAAGCAAACGGGGTTTCTTGCTGAGACTGTGGAAGAATATGCAGATGCGATTTTGGAGATTTTAAGGATGTCTGAATCTGAAAAACATGGCATGGCTGCAGCTGCCAGAAGACGAGCTGGCAGCTTCTCAGAGCAGAGATTTTATCGTGATTTTAAAGCTGCAATTAGACCCATTCTAAACCAATGAGCTTCTTTCTAAGGAGAGATGAAACATATAAAAACTAACATACAACATCAGGATTTCCCTTTACTCGGAGTTTTGTTTGATTTGATCTGATTTTGTTTCTTTTATTTTTGTTAAAACAAATGGAAGTTGGATGCTGTTGTGGGAAAATATCCAAGTGCCATGTCTTATGTCTATATCAGTAAAAAGACAAAGTATGTTGCTAGTTGCTGAAATAGAATAGTTTTGTCAAATACATATTCTAGAGTCAACGTAAGATAATTGATTGCTTTTGAAGCGAATTAATTTATAGATGGAAAATTAATACTTTTATGAATTTTCTAAATTTAATTATTTTAATCTTAAAGAAAAAAAAAACGTGAATACAAACCCGATGTTTTATACTTTTTATTACCTTGTTACCACAGGTGCTTCATTTACAAGTGAATGATTTATGGTGAAACACTTTTATAATATTCTATCATTTTTAAAGATATGTAAGGTGTGATCATTTTGCATACAATCCTGTGGATTTGTAGGTGGGAGACTAGTATGGTACCAACACTTCTGAGACAGTGATATCCATCACGGCGAAAGGTGAAAGGTGTTTGCGTTGGCATTCTAGAACACCCTAATTGCACTTTCGATACATAGATGATGGTCGATGGTTCACATTTTACCTTATGATAATTGGAGCATTTGTTTATTTAGACATGTTTTGTGTTGCTTTTCAGACAAATATTGCTTCTAACCGTCACTTCTTATGGTGTGTAGAGAACCCTTAGGTAGTGTTTGGTGCATGAGACTGGAGAACGACAGACTTTCAAATGATGTTTGGCATTGATGGAACAAGAACAAAAGTAGTTGTTGACCAAGTCAAATGGGACTATTTTATTAAATTTTAATCCCACCAAAAAAGGTTGAACAAAGTGGACTATTCTACAATCGCCTTTTATTTTTGTTTATTTCTTATGTTTTTCATTGTTTTTCCAAGTGACTTCAAGTTGCAGAGAATAATTCATTAATAGCAATGAATACAACATCAATTTCATTGATGCTTCCTATGTCCTTAAATTTTATTATTTTAATCTTATTTCTTTTTTGAGATTATAGATTATTATCTTCGACGTTCCATTTAATGTTTATTCACTTTTCCTTTATAAGATTTTTATAAGATTAATGATGTATAATTATTCCCCATAACAATCGCCAAAGGGAATTCCAATCTGCTACAAAGGTGTGTGTAAAACGTTTATGTATAAGGATACTTTAATAATAATATTAGAACGTCACTTACAAGTATTATATCCGAAAGCAAATTGAAAATAGTTTATAGTATTTTTGGATAAATACAAGGATAATTTAGTAATTTTACAATCTTGTTCCATTGAGTCCTAGCCTTACCAAATATTATATAAATAGATCATTTTAGTCCACTCTAGTCCAGTCCGGTTCCGTTTAGTCCCGATACCAACCGCTACCTTAGGAAACTAAGGGGCTGTTTGGCAGGATCTGAATTTTTAAGATCTGAATTTTTAAGAGGTCTGAATTTCTAAGAGGGTCTGAAATTTTAAGAGCTGAATGTTTAACATGCTGTTTGGTTGGGACCTCTGAATTGTTCTGCTGAATTATTAAAATGACCATTTTACCCTTCTGTTTTATTTTTTTAATTAAATTCATCTGTTTATTTAGAAAATAACCTAATAAAAATTCTTAATTATGTATTAAAAAATATATAAACACCATATAAAATTCAAATTTAGCATAAATCAAAATTAAACACAAATCCAAATCAAACATAAATATTTTTAAATCCACAATATCATACTAAAATCCAAATAAAATCCTACAAATCTAATTTCATCCCAATTGATTCGCAATCTGGTCACGTAAATTATCCATGTATTCATTTCCTTGTGAACCCCATTCCATATCGTGTACGTTTTCGACATCATTTTGTCCCCCTTGTGGTTGAGCATTGTTCTCCTCGAACGCCATAAATAACTCATCATGAATATCGCATTTCCTTATGAAATTGTGGACTGCAAAACAAGCAACGACTATATCTCTTTGCACTGAAAAAGGAAAAGGAGCCATTCGCTTTAGAATTGGGAATCTCGCCTTCAAAACACCGTAAGCACGTTCAATAACATTTCTGAGTTGCGCATGTGCATGATTGAATTTTTCTTCCTTAGTTAACGGACGTCGCCGTCGATAGTCGGCTAACCAATACCTCGTGTTGCGATAAGGAGTCATAAATCCACGAGTGTTGGTGTATGCAGCATCGCAAAGGTAATATTTATCTGTACACATGAGTAAAGGAAGTATTATATATAGAAATTTAATATCGTATTTTAGAATAATCTTAAAAAGAATTAAAAACCTGGAGGAGGGAACGGAAAGCCTGAAGTCGGGTTACATGCAACTTCTTTCAAAACTCGCGAATCATGTGTTATACCCTCCCAACCGGCCCATACGAATGTGAACATCATATCAAAATCACAAATTCCTAAAACATTTTGAAAGCATTCACCTTTTCCTCTTCCCCTATAGCGAGTTTGTTGATCAGCAGGCACAACTGCATGTACAAGAGTTCCATCTAGCGCACCTATTGCTCCAGGAAAGATTTCTTTTAGCTTACGATGCCTCTCTGAGGAATTCACAGTTGCATTAGAATTCGTTGGCACTATAACTTCTTTTGCAAAAATCATCATTGCATTTAGCACCTCATGAAAGCATCTATGAACTGTTTCTGTGGAGTGTTGAAACCTTCGTTTGATAATCCTGAACCGTTTATTATGTGCTATAGTAGTTAAGAACATAGCCATCTTTTCTTCAACGCTTATATGCCTACTACTTTGCAACCAATTATTTCGTCTAAAATGATTGCATAAAAGTACATATGCTTCACGTGAAAGACGCATCAAGTCTTTACATTGTGTAGAAGTTCCATGTAACAATTCTTGTGTATGTTGATGACCACTCATTTCCGAATCATTATCAATTGCCCTTCCAATTCTGTTGAATGCTAGATTCAACCAATAGCAACATAGTAACATGAAAAATGCAATTTCTTCATCCGAATCCATAAGCAATCTGTTATTTTGAAAATACATAACAATTATATTAACAACATATAATATAAAAATTCATCAAGCCATTAATATCAAATAATCCAAAACATCAAGTAATCCAAAACATCAAGTAATCCAAAACATCAAGTCATTAATGTCAAGTAATCCAAAAAAAGAGCCATCTAGTTCAAACCAAACATCTAGTTATCCAAAAAAAACCATCAAAACATTCAAAAAATCTACTTAGCGAAACATTCCGTAATGTGCTCCAACGGTCTTGACCCAATTCTCACAAATAGCTGGATCAATGGTTAACCACACGTGCCTCTTATCCGCACTTTCACCAAAAAGAGCAACAGCAGTAGTGTATCTTGGATCAAATATTCCCCATCCTAATTTCTCCAATTTTTCCATACACGCATCCAAATTTGAAGAAGAATGCTTTTCCACAAATATTTTAGCAACTGTGGCAATATCTTCACCGATTTCAAGCAATCTTGAGTTGGATGCATCTTTACCCTTATCTTTACCCTTGTCTTTACTTTTATTTTGACTCTTTGCCGTATCTGTAGTCTTTTGTTTTTTTGATTGAGCGGATGACTCGTCACTGAGACCTACAGTTTCTTGTTGAGTGCAATCGATGTCATAAAAGTCATGCAAACTATAGTGGCTTGAGTCTTGAGTAGGACGGGGAAGGGTAGAAGTTGGTCCCCAACTATGCATGCCTGTCGCAGTCGCGCCTTCAAACAACTGTGTGCAAAGGTCGGGATACGGTAATGGTGTGCGTCTCAAAGAATCCACATGTTTGTTTGACTGTTTGGAAAAAAATATTTTATTATTTAAAAACATGAAAATCAATTTTTTATAAATTAACAAAATACCTTCGCTTCTAGTTCCCATTCTTCTTTGGAAAGATTAAAGGTGTTGGTTGTTGAATTGTACACATTACCGGTTTTGTTTTTTAACTTCAAAAAAGCACCAAACTTTGACTTTAGGTAGTCATAACGGTTCTTCATTTGTTTTTGGTCGGCAATAAAGTTATGTTCAATTTTTAGTGTTTCGGCTACATTTCTCCAAGAAAGTGCTTTCAAACTACTCCCTTCCCGTCCATTGATCGTAACTTCACGTAAACAAGCTTCAAGAAATGTTTTCTCTACACCTTCTACCTTCCAACTAATCCTATCCTTCTTTTCTCCCATTTCTTTGATCAATTCAACAAAAAAAAATGCATATTTTAGCAACAAGTTATGCATTACAAATACACATAACATCAACATATAATGCATTACAAATGCACATAACATCAACATATAATCCTAATAACAACATTTCATTATGTCCATTGAAAACATTAGGATTCGTTCATTTAACATCAAACTCAGCGTATAACATCAACATATAATGCACATTTCCTAATAACAACAAGAGCATATATGATTTCAAAAATAAATAAAAGTACATTGTTACTTCTTATACGTTCTCTTATTTTTTTTTATGGTTATTAAAGTTATATGCAATCTATTTTCTTGTAGAGGAAATGTAGCATATGATGTCCCTATTGAGGCAAGTTCTTTTTGACATATTTACCCTTTACGCTTAGTAATTTCTATTTGGAAGTGTATGCACATGAAAAATCGTTAATTTATGATGCTATACAAAAAAATTTATTACATCTCTGTTTATTTGAAATGATTATATATAAAGGGCAAATAAGTAATTATACATTAACATCATAACTCATTTTCAGGTTATTGGTGATGTTCTACGAATTCGGCAAATTATTACTACTACGTTTCTTAACACAAGATAAATGCATATCTCCCAAATGAATTATTTATTTATACATGAAAGATTACATATTCCATGTATGTATAAATGAAGGAAGAAATGCTGTGAAATTTACTCACGAAGGGAAGGTTAAGAAATCAGGAGCAAATAACAAATAAGGAAGAAATCGGTTTCAGAAGAAGGAAGAAAGAGCTGCTGTGAAATTTACTCCCAGCAAGAAATCGGTTTCAGAAGAAGGAAGAAAGAAGAATAGCAAAAAAAAAACGATTTTCAGAAACAAATAAGGAAGAAAGAAGAATAGCGACGTACCTGAATTGTAACATAAAAATCATACAATATAACCAAATTAAACATAAATTCTCCTAAATTCATTTCTTTCAATCCAACATAAAACAACATACAATAGCCAAATAAAAAAATACTTCTTTCAATCCATGGTGCAACTAGTGAACCAAAGACCTATTTTCTGCATACTTAAGAAACAACCATACAATTTATCACTCTTTTATCAACAAAAAATTAACCAAAACTTTTCAGCACAAATCAATAGAAATCATCAATTTCAGCAAGAAATTGCCCATTAGCAAAAGATATAATAATCAAAGTTCATAACACACGTCTATTGGAATCGTTGAATTAAAAGTTTGCAGAACATACATAAATTATACGTAATCTTGATTAAGCAAATAAAAATTCGATTCGCTTATTAAAAACTCGCAACAAATGTTAAAATCTCTGTAAAGCATGAGTCGCATAAAGGGTAAAAAAGTTTTTGAGAAAAGGAAAAACTCCAATGGTTGAATCTTTACACATACCTCATTGTCGTTAACTATTGCTGCCTTAAACTTCACTTTTGCGTAGACATAAAACAGAGTATAAACTATCAATTTCATCAATCGTATTCAACATAAAGACAAAAAAAAAAAAAAAAAAAAAAAAAACCTAAACCGATTTCAAGCATATCAAACAATTTTATGATTTATCAAACATCAGATTTCAAGCATATTAAACAATAACATCATATTATAGATTTCATCAACATTTAAGGGTTTGATTTCATCGTGACTTGCAGATAAAATATACAAACCTTCTGATTATGCAGAGAAAAGATTACATAGCAGAAGAACGATTACATAGAGAAAAGATTACATATTAGGAGAAAGAGAGACGATTGAAAGTTTACCTGCAGAAGTCGTCAGATGTGCAGCTGTCGGAGAGGACGCCGACGATCCCGGAGGCGGAGAGGAAGCCGACGACGATGTCGGA